TGCCATTAATGCGTAACGGAATTCAATTAGCTAAATGACCGAATGCCAGCCGGTATTCAAATCGAATTTTTTGGAGCAATAGACCCCGAAGTATGCTATGCATAATGGTATAATGGTTAATGGCGGTTCCTGTGGAATAGGCGTAAATAATTCACGGCCAGTATCTGTATGCAGTGCCATGGGGCGTGGTCTTTGGCCAAAGCCCCAGGTGAGCGGCTCTTTGTTACCTAGACAAAGTGAGCTTAAACATGACAGAGGGAGGATTCCGGGGGACGTAGATGGGAATGCGAGTGGATAGGCTCAAAATTAATTATGAAAATTTTCACTTTGCGGCAGCTTTCGGTTACTTAGTTGACTTACTTAGCCTAATGCGTTTATTTGTCGTGCTGAATTTAATTACTGCGAAATGGAAAGCGTTCTCGTATTACAACTTTTATTTAAGTTTAATTCTGTGCGATCAGAACAATACCTTTGGGGATTGGTTGGCAAACTATTCATTTTCAGCAGGTTCCTGTTTGATTTGCCCCTGCTCACCGGTCTGCATGGCTTTTGATTGAGCTTGAGGTTTGAGGTTTGCCTGCCACTGTCATGTGGAAGAAAACAATTTGCTGCTAAATTGCTACATGGCATCGCCTGTTGATTTCCTGTCATTCCTTTTCCGAGCGAATGTGTGTGTGTGTGGCAGGATAATTGCGTTTTTATATGAAACTTCCGCTACATTTCACTTAATGGCTCCGTTTGATTTCCGGCTCCTTTGTGCCACTATTTGATTTTTACCGCCTTGAAAGGTATTTGATTGCTTTTTATTATCATACTATTGTGTTAAATTTGTCATGGAAGCTGAATTAAATTTGTTCCTTTGTATTTATTTCATAAGCGTGTTTCAATTAAACAAGTTTTTCACACTCAAGGGCATCAAATTGCAATGTTATTGCATATGCCAATTAATTAAATTAATTCATTGGCTAAAAAAATTTTTATAAAAAAAAAAATTTGTTTTTTAAAAAAAAAAAAAAATTTTTTTTGGGGTGGGGGGGGGGAGGAAATTTCCCCTGAAACACCCCTCCCTTTAGGGTCATCCAACTATTTAACCAACCCAATTGGCAGGGAGCGATCCACGCCTAGGCCGGAGGGTTCGTCCTGGCAAATACATAAAAATACTCGCAAATAACAATAAAACCTAGGAAATTATTGATACGAGCATGGAAATTGCTTACCAATGCGCAGAACGCCACGTGCAAGGACTCGTCTTTGGCGGACGAGGACTCCTTGCCAGACAGCTGAACTAAGCAAATATGAATAGGCCAGATGGAAATGGAGGGCATGTCATGCATGCTTAGGACCCACTAATATCAAAACAAATAACCCGGGCCCACGCAGGCAAAGTTTTATGCCAAATACTTTAAGGCAAACTTTATTAGCTCGCAAATACCTGAGATTTCGCCCCGCCTGAGTGGAAAAGAGTCTACGGAAAATCGAGCAAAGCCCTGTACCTTCTGGACCGGAGAGAATGGAAAAGGGCAGCTGTGCCTACATTAGAGAAATGTAATTGATTTCATGTGTTTGACGCGCTTTTCCCCCGGGGACCTCTAATAATCCCATCCAAGCACGCAGACAAACAGAACCGAAATTAAAGGGAAACCCTTGGCAAACCATTGAATTTGTTGGACTACACAGGGCGAAAAAAAGTGTATTATAAGCTCTGAAGACTTATACTTCTTCTGGTTCCATAATGAAGCCAGCAAAACATTTTATTACATTTTTTTGGGTACTATTTTTATGTTTGTGTGCATGCTGTGTGCTGTGAATATAAAATGGGCCGCTAGAAGTCATCTGATTGATCATTCACCGCAGACTTGGCCAATTTCATAACTTTGGGCCTCGCCGCTCTGGGGCTGAAGGTTATTGCCCGTAATACATTTTCGCGATAATAAAATTAAAAAAAAGAAATCACACAACTGTCACAAACTCGGTGGAGCGTAGGTGAGGCAATATCTGCATATGGAATTTGAAATGTCCTGATTACCAGCTACCTGATCCCTCGTTCCCCAGGCTGACAACTTTCCGTGTTTCTGGCGTGTCAACGAAATTTATCACAGACTCACATTTGTAACTCTCGACGGCTGAGGAGATGTTAGACATTTGCATGTCTCGTTCCCCGAATTATTCATATTTGGGGAGCGAGGGGCGCAGCCTACCTTTCCTACATGTGTTACTATTAATTCTGTGCTCCTGCCGGCGAATTGAAGGCGACTGAATGCCTGATCCTGCAGCCAGGACATTAGCCGCAGCCCGGGATGCCCAGGTGTGTGTAGCAGGTGATTGAATGTTATTTGATGTGAAATTTTCTTTATTGTTTGGCCCACGAATTTATGCAAATGTCGCAATTCGGCGGCTGTCAGGAGCACGACAGCAAATGAGATGTGAAATTAAAGCGGATGAAGGTGGATTAAGTGTAAGAAAACACAGCACCTCTCACTATCCTGAAGAAGGAAAATGAATCAAGAGTTTAATTGTGAAACCGAAAAAAGTGTGTAAAAGCAACCATTAAGTACCCAAGCTAACAGAAACAATACCTTAATGAGTGCACTCGTTAATTTGCCCTTTACATAACTGAAATATTTGCTTTGATACCCTTGAACATGCACACTGCACATTGAAGAGTATATCCAAGTATATTTTTCGTCGAGTGGCCATCGAAATCTAAATGTAAAGGCAAAAGAAGTACTCAAGTATTAAAATACATTTTCAATTCTGCCTTTATTAATGGATGAGTAATGCATACTCCGCTGTAAAGGTCAAATTTGCGCGAACACTCGGCGGAATCGTCAATTTTATGCCACTGTAAATCCTATCGATGGAAATCAATTTGCACAACAGACCGACAAAGAATGAATGGCAAGAGACAGCAAATTGATATCGTCTGCTGTCCTTAAAGCCAGCCCGGTATTATATACATAAAATATTTCAGCGACAAAAAAGCGAAATTTAACGAAAATTCAAATCAGCGAAAAAGGACAAGGCAAACGAACAAAATGCTCAATCAAATCAAAGTCCCCCATACAAAATGCAAAATAAGACAATGACAAAGCGGAGTGGGCGGGGGGATTGGGTTCAGTTGGCCCAGACGAAATGGGTTCGGAAGGGCTTGCCTGGGACTCCATGGGTTGGGTTGCTGGGTCGCTCCTCGTAATGCCTTGCTATGAACATTGTCCAACAAAACACGTTGAGACAAGTGTCACTGACAGCCGGAGGCTGTGTTCGTTATGCAAAAAATGTTCAAGCGAGAAAGGAAAAATACGTGCCCTTCGCTGTAATCAAAGTGATTCGAATAATGTGAAAAATCTCTAAAAGATTCCTTACTACAGTCTCAAGTACTTCGAGCTAAGAATTTAATAATTTAATAATTCCAGGAAAATCAGTATACATATTACCCAACAACCTTGGTAGTTTTCTCAGAACTAGTTTGTTACCCCATGAAATGCAAAGTAAAAAAAAATAAATTATTTTAATTTCCTAGAGCATAAACCTCAGTGAAAACTCAAAATGGATAAAATATCCAAAGTGATAAAAATCCTGCAAAGATTCCTTACTACAGATTCAAGTAGTTCGAGTTCAGAATTCTTTAATTCGAGGAAAATCAGTATGCATATTACCCAACAGCCTTGGCGGTTTTCTTAGAACTAGTTTTGTACACCATGAAAAGAGAAATAAGAAACTCTTGATTTCACTTTCAGATTATTTTCTATAAATTCTTTTGATTTCATCCAGTTAAAGTTCCAAAGAAGAATAAAATGGAGATGCTCTAAACTGGTTTCATTGGCTTAATCAAGATTGTATGTTTCCGGATTAATTGCCGATAGCTTTAGTTGGGTAAACATATACCCGACAAACTCGTAATGCGGGAAGAGCGATGGTCGGATGAGACACTGACAGAGGGACGACAAATGTAATCAAAATAAATTACGAGCGTGTAAGCAGCCTCCGGTGTCTATTACGTGCAATAAAAAAGGAAAGCACCATTTGTTCAACGCAATCTCATTATTCGATGCGTCCCGAAAGCCGGCGGCGCAGATGCTGCAAGCCGAGTGGTTTGCGACACCCCGACATTGACAGACTGGAGGCCCTTCCCCCACCGCCCACCACCCATCGAAGCACCCACTAACCCACAGACCTCCGGTGTCATTCCGGGTTACCTTGATAATGCCGCTGATTATACTGATGATAAGTAATTTTGTGAGCTCCAACTGCAGGCCCCGTCTAAAGTGGCGTTAACGCGTTTGTTGATTAGTGGGGCGGGGCAAGATGGGCGGGTGACAAACATCAGGGGCCTGGGACCACCGACAAGCTCATTACGATGCCAACAATTTGATTAATTACCGTTGGCAACCCTCCGGCGAGACCGACTTTTCGCTTCTTTTTCCACTACCCAAGGCAAAGGATTTCTTGCATTTTACTCGCATTTTCCCCGTCTTGCGGCGGCGCGTAAAATTTTATGCAAATTTAATTTACCTCAGGGCAATCATTTTTATGGGCAAATGCCCATGGGCCACGCCCACGTAGCCCAATAATCGGGGAGGGTAGACAGCTATAAGCTTTGGGGGCTAAAAACCTTTTGGGAGTTTCGGGTGACTTCGAAAAATATCTGGTTAAATTTTAATGAAACCCATTCGTCAAAGTCTTTACACTTTTTTAAGTTTAAGCAAAAAGTTGGAAAATAAAATATTCAAATTAAATGATAAAAAGGTCAAGTAAGCAATTATTTTTAAAAGATGACAAAGCCAATATAAAAACAATTTAAAATTGTTTTAGCCGTCAAAAACATAAATGTGCAATGATTTTAATTTGCTGTGACATTTCTCTTAAACCCGCCAATTATTTAAATTAGATATTAACATAACAGCTTTGTGAACGATAACTTTGTAAACTCAAACAATCTGAACCGGAAAAATAGTTGAAAATATTTATTGCGGCATCACAATAAATAGGAAATTCCCCCATTTGCCAATGCAGAAAACGACGAAATGTAGAAGCGAAAAAAGAACGATAAATTGTGAGCAGCCAACGAAACCAAAGCCCAAAATGCGTGCAACATATCGCCATGAGCAATTGAACTGTGAGCTAATCCGAAACATATCCAAATCCAACCCAAATCCGCGCACATTCAAATAGAAGAGTGCGACGAGCAAATACAGAAATATATCACGTTTAAACCGTAGCCAAGGCCAATATGAAAACAATCTGCGACAGCAAATGGTTCGTGCAAATTTGTTTGCTGCTGGTCCTGGTTGTCCTGCCCACCTGTCACATCCTGCAGGCCGAGAGCCAGGTGGTGGTGGGTGACATTGAGCTGCAGGAGAAGGACGACGAGGTGGCGCCCAGTCATCATCACAGTCGCAGTGGCAGTCACAGCAATAGCAATAGCAATCATCCTGGCTGCGAGCACCTCCATCATCGTCAGCACCACCGGGGAAAGCACGGAAGCCGGAAGCACAGACAGAGCCATTACGAGATTCTCGAGCGGGAGCAGCGGCAGCAGCAGCTGGGAAAACACTGGCGTCAGTGGGTGAATGTGAATCACCCGAATCACCTGAAACACCTGAATCACCTGCAGTCGCCGGATTACCCCAGCGATGATCCATCGCCCTCGGATGGCAGGCACCCATCTCGGGCTAATGGAGGCCTGTCGGACGACGAACCTTTCGACCTGGAGGACTACCAGCGGTATGCTAATATTGACCTGGCCTCTCCGCGCTCCGGTCGCCATCGCGGCCGCCACCTGCCGCTGAACAAGGTGAACCTGATGCTGCCGCTCATCTCGGCGGACGGAAGTGGCAAGTACCTCAGATCCCTGCCCGATTCGCTGAGCTTCCAGAACGATCGACTGCTGTATGGGAGCCAGCCGCAGAGACACTGGCCCGTCAAGCGGGAGGCCATTGTGGAGGGCGACGTCATCCTGGGCGGCCTGATGATGGTCCACTCGCGCGAGGACAGCATCACCTGCGGACCCATCATGCCGCAGGGCGGCATCCAAGCCCTGGAGGCCATGCTCTTCACCATCGACAGGATCAACCGGGAGCAGCTGCTGCCAAACATCACCCTGGGCGCCCACATCCTGGACGACTGCGATAAGGACTCGTACGGCCTGGAAATGGCCGTGGATTTTATCAAAGGTAAGCACTTGAGGCGGGTGCACCCAGAAAAAAATACGGAAAATATGTGATAAATAATAATATAATAAACAAACGTCAACATTAATTTAAAAGTCAATGGACACCCTTAAAACCATATTTTTAAACTTTTTAAAACATTATCAATGCTTAGGAAATAATTCCCTGATTAAAATTATTGCCAATCCAATCACTGCCGTATGAAAAATGGATCCATATCCAGATCTATTCGAAAACTTATCATATTTCTTTCATTTATTATTAAGGTCACATTGTTTTCTAAATATATCCTATACCCTACCATAGAAACAATCGGGTAAAAGATGTCCAATTCTAGTGCTATTTTTAAAACAAGTACCTAACCAATCTATTTTATTAAAATTTAATTATTTTATTCATTTTTGGTTTCCCTAAGCTAGCATCCAAATTTTTTCTGATATTTTGATACCTATTTTAATAAAAATTGCAGCAATCAAAATGAATAAAAATTGTTTTGTGTGGAAACTATGTTGCTCTGCCTTTCAGCGTACTTGCAATGCAGCCTCGGTTTATTCTCGTATTTATATGCAAATTTTGTGTACCTCTGGTTCTGAACTTATGTTGATTTCATTGCGAGTAAAAGTAGTTTCAGTTGCAGTTGAATTACCGCAGTCGTTTTGTTGTGGGAGCTGCGAGCGAAAACTGTTTACAAATTTATTCAGCCAAATTAAATAGCGGTATCTCTGGGATTTGTGTTATGTGAGAGCTTGCCTCGGAGAAAAAGGCTACCTCAGCTTAGTATGAAATGTGTATTTTCCACTTCAACAACAATATCCACACGCAGAGCAGAGAACTGCGTCAAAGATTTCATTAATAAACTAAATTAATAAATAAATTATGGGATTTCCTGGCGGGAGACTGAAGCTCTCTGGGCAACTAAATATGCATAATTCCCTTAAGACAAAACGGCGTGGATTATTGAGATTGCCTTGTCGGAGGAGCAGCGAGGGAAGATCAAGGACACATAAAATGCCGCTTATTACTTTTATCGGGCCAAACAAAGAGGCGCACACACTCAGGCCGGCACACACAGCCAACGATCCATAATCAATTGGGCCCAGAGCATCCAGCATCCTTGTCATCGTCCCTGAACACTTTCTAATCTCCATAATTTCATTATTTATGTGCGCGGCTAGGATTTATTTGAGCGACGTGCGGTGCGCGTCTCTGTCTCTTTCCCTCATTCCCCCTTTCTCTCTGTCCATCCCTGTACCCGTCTTTGTTGCGTATGACGTATGAAAAATATAATTTTCCAAGTCACTGAATTATATTGACAGGATTAGGCAGGCCGTAAACTATGCCGATGCTCTTAGCTACGCCACACTGTACCCACACACTGTACAGACACCCCACTTCGGCTAATAATAATCTAGTTAGGCATCGATTGTGTGGGCAAAATCAAGCCACTATCTTAGTCGGAGAGTTAATTAATTTGTACTTAAGCACAGCAGCTGGCTACACTTGATAATAGTGGGCGTGGCAAATCGCCCACCAATTTGGAAAGTTGGTTAATTCTTGGGTAAAGTGTTTATATCGCTAAAGTTGGTAAGGAAAATTATTTAGCAAATGGGTAAGTCGATAATTACGGTTCAAATTTAACTTTAAAAATATACCTATTTAATGCAAACACTGTATTAGAAATAACCTTGATAAATTACATTAAAATTCATATTTCCATTGCATTTAAAGTTGAATTCAATAATTCTTTGACCAATCAAGGTACAACACAAGGTACGCACATAAGCAACTATAAACAAACATCAATAATTTATTTCCATGAATTTTTAATATTTCGTACGTGGAAAAACGTGAGGAAGACCTGAATAAAATATTTTCCCAAATGATTATTCTAATTTACTGCGTAAAGCAGCTATCAATGTAATACCGGAATTAAATGAAAAGGCCTCACCGAGCGTAAATCTCCGGATTTCACGTGAAAAACAAACAACAATTTAAATTCATATAAACAAGGGGAATTTTGGCGAAATTCACGTTTTACAGAACAATTAAAACTTAAATTACTTCAAATGGCATATTTCTCTAAACGCCTTCTCCTCGTTCATATATATTTTCAGGATCCATCAGCAACATTGACGACGCCGAATATCATTGCAACAAGACGCAAGTGCGGAAGGTCATCTCGGGGGTGGTTGGCGCCGCCTCCTCGGTCACATCTATTCAAGTTGCCAATTTACTGCGGTTATTCCGAATACCCCAGGTGAGTTTCTATTGTTTGATGTCCTAACTGTGGTACTTTGTGTGCACGAAGTCAAAAGGTCATGGCACAGAAAAGAAGTCCTTTTGGTTTTTGGTTCACATTTTGCTTTATGGTCGCAGCTACATGTACACATGTGTATTAGTTTGGCCAACAGAAGTTTCCTCTATTCCGTAATTAAAATTTCCCAGAAGCCACATGGTAACTGTTGTAATGGCCGTCAGGACTTTGGGTTGGCTTTACCGATTCTTAAGTGTCTGCACGTGCGACTAAATTAGTCGAATCTTGCAGGCCAACGAGAGGAACAAAGTGCAGCAGTTGCAAAGAAATATGGTCGGACAGGCTAGCAAAAGACTCGGGGGAAAATTGTGTTTTTTTTTCGAATCAAAGACACTCAGAAATATGAACTGTTTATGTACACCAAATATTTAGTTACTTTTATTTTTCCACAGAATTTTCCTAACTACTCCGAGCAAAAAAATATATTAAGAAAGATAAGAACGAAATGGTTTTATTCGTTTTAGTAAGATTTTAATGTCTATATATATGAAAATTGGATTTATTTAAATTCACCATCATCAGATAAATTGCAAATATTTCGCAACTTAAAAACTCGATACCCGTTTTATTTAGCTTCCTTTTTCTGGGTGTACTTTATATCAAAAAAAGAAGTGAGTATTGCCAGAAACTCGTATTAATTCTCGTTCAGAAACAAAATAACATTTTTCGAGTGCCTGCATGAATCACGTGCTGGAAGTTGAAGGAGATTGAGTGGCCGGTGGTGTTGCTCCAACTACGTGAGCTGGAGCCGAAAGTCAATACGCGACAATAACTAAGTAGCCAACTGCCTGACTGCCGTATCCCAATTCTATATGTATGACCATACTAGATGCCATTAAACGCACACGAAGTGGCAGTCGACGGAGCAGCAGCCGTTTTATGCAGGCCCGACTATCGTTCCGAAAAGAGCTCATAAATCAGCTATAAACATTTGATTGCATTTGGTTTGTACGCGAGGACTCTCTCGGCAGACTTCGCATAAACAGGACTTTCCAGCAAATTGTGTGTGTTCTGCAATTGAAATGGCTGCTCGATGGCGACTTAGTGAGTTCCATTTAGGCTCAGCGGAAATTGGCTGCAATGCGATATGTAGGCAAGGACGAAGGACGAAGTACACATGACATGTCTGAAATTTAGTTAAGCATATTTGCATATGCAATATTTAATCTTGTATCCAAATCTTAAGAATAGTATTTTAGGTGCTTTAACTAAGCAATGAAGGTGAATTTAACTTGCTTCGGAAATTGCTTTTTTGATGGAATAAAATGATTTTTTAATAAATTACAAAGTCTTAGAGATTCCAGAAACTTATTGTTTTATAAATTGCATTTTGTTTTTAATTGCTTTTTTAATTTTAAATTAAAGTATATTTTTCTATAGAAATGATTTATTAACTTAAAATGATTGATATTTAATATTGGTGCTTTTTGCTCCTTTATTGATTGCAATTGACTTTTGCTCAATTGGATCAGAAATGTAAAATAGAATTGTCAGGTTTCAATTAACCTTTTGTAAGCCAATTAGCCAATTAGCCCCCATTGCCTTCCCTTTGCCATGCGTGACAAGTTAAAGAGCACTTACGAAGTACTAATGGTAATGACACTTAATGTGAAACCAAGTAGTTCATTAAACACTTGCACTTGACTTGTCTCACCGCCCACGTCTTTGCTCTAAGACTGCACATATTTATATCGATTGCAAACGAAGGGATAATTTGTGCGTGAAATTGGTTTCCGGACTTTGGCCAGGTTACCACAGTTGGCCTTTTGCTGCTGCATCCTCGGCAGCAGATTTTGCAAAGTAATACCATCTGATGTTTTCTTTCGACTTCTGCATTGTTTGTGGTTTTTCGAAGGGAGCTTAAGAGGGGGAAAATATGAATGCCAAAAGCTGGGAAAGAAGCTTACGAAAGTGTTTGCAAAACAGACATCCAAAAGCTAGTGTGGAAAAAAGTGAGAATTAAATGTTGAAACCTTAAAGTGAAAATGGTTGCAACATAAAAACAAGAGAGAACGCTATAGTCGAGTGCCTCGACTATTAGATACCCGTTACTCAGCTAAACAACTTAATAGAAATATGCCTTCTTATATGTTTTTCGCCGCTCGATTTTTACCCAGGGATCTCTTTCTCGAAGAGGCTTTCTAGAATTTTCAATTCTGCCTAGCACATCTTCCGTCTCTCTCTAGCGCAGGTGAATGCACTTGTGAAAAACGTATACGAGCAAAAAGAGACAAAATGCGCGCCCCATTTCAAATAATTTAAAATTTGCATTAACATATTGTGAATTAGAGTGACCACAGAAAAAAAGGCAGATTTTTTCCAATGCCATTTCCTAGATGGCGCTAGTGTATATTGTATTGCGCCATCTACCGCCAGATATTGGTACTACTGGTCATGAAAGGCGGAAATGTAGGCGCTGGCCAGGCTTAAGCGTTTATTGGGTTTGTGGGCGTTAGAGTGGGCGTGGCAATCTTTTACTTGGCCAATCGATAGGTATGACGAAGCGAATACATATCAGTTACTATTTTCATAATAGCTTCAAAACTGTGGGCGTTAAAGGGGGCTTGTGGGCGTTATAGGGGGCGTGGCACCTTTTTGAAACAAACTTGCGCTGCGTAGGAGCTCCTAGAATATTCATGCAAAATGCCAATCTTCTAGCTTTTATAGTTTCCGAGATCTCAGCGTTCATACGGACAGACAGACAGACAGACAGACAGACGGACAGACGGACATGGCTAGATCGACTCGGCTAGTGATCCTGATCAAGAATATATATACTTTATGGGGTCGGAAACGCTTCCTTCTAGCTGTTACATACTTTTGCACGAATACAATATACCCTTTTACTCTACGAGTAACGGGTATAATAACATGCTCGCACTTTTCAAAGTCAATTCTATGGCTTTTCAAGCAAAAACATTTTCGTACCATATGGTAATCCGCTCCCCTTATTTTTCCAGGTGTCCTACTTCTCCACGAGCCCCGAGCTTAGCAACAAACAGCGATTCGAGTACTTCTCCCGCACGATTCCCTCGGATCACTACCAGGTGAAGGCCATGGTGGAGATTGTTAAGCGGATGGGTTGGAGCTACGTCTCGATTATCTACGAGGAGAGCAATTATGGCATCAAGGTGGGTACTCAGTCAATGAAAATTGCTATGAAGGTGGAGTGGGGGTGGATAAATCATGTGTTTACTACTGAGTTTGGTTTTCTACTGCTTTAAAGCTTCTTTTGACTTTATAATTGCAATATTACAAACTAGATCTTCTTAATAAAAGTAAAAATTTAAAAAAAAATCGATAGTAATTACATTACTGAAAAAAATATTTAATTAAATATCGGCTTCGATAAATTTAAGGTATATTTAAGTAAATCTATATATAAAAATTTAAGCCTTAAATCTATTCGATTTATTCAGCACGAAATATGTGTGAAATTAAGAAGAAACAAGAGAGAACGCTATAGTCGGGTGCCCCGACTATCAGATACCCGTTACTCAGCTAAAGGGACTTTGATCCGCCGTAACTTTTTAACGAATGGTTCGATTTAAAAAATTTCTTCTACATTTCGATAGGTATTCATAAACACAATAAAACTGCATTTTTACTTTTCCGAAATATTGAAATTTTTCAAATCCTATGTAAGCGTTTGTGGGCGTTAGAGGGGGCGTGGCACCCTTTTAAAACAAACTTGCGCTGCGTAGGAACTCCTAGAATCTGCATGCAAAATGTCAATCTTCTAGCTTTAATAGTTTCCGAGATCTCAGCGTTCATACAGACAGACAGACGGACAGACGGACAGACAGACGGACAGACGGACAGACGGACAGACGGACAGACGGACAGACGGACAGACGGACATGGCTAGATCGACTCGGCTAGTGATCCTGATCAAGAATATATATAGTTTATAGGGTCGGAAACGCTTCCTTCTACCTGTTACATACTTTTGCACGAATCTAATATACCCTTTTACTCTACGAGTAACGGGTATAAAAATGTAAAATCTTTAGAAGGAAATTTAGCACCCTTAAAAAAGCGGAATTACACTCTGTCGAGCATTTGCATTCTCGAGCGATTACTGTGTCAACGGAATACATTTTAAGTGCCTACATAGTACTCTTACCTGCGTACAAAATTTTACCATTCCCATCACATGCGTTTTTATTGCTTACACAACATTGCAATTGTTTCTCTACTCCCCAAACAGGCTTTCGAGGAGCTGGAGGAGCTGCTGGCACGCCATAACATTTGTATTGCCATCAAGGAGAAGTTGGTAAAGGATTCGGGAGTGGCCGAGGACATCGCGTACGATAATATAGTGCAGAAGCTGCTGACGAAGCCGCGGGCCCGAGGTATGTAGCTGGGAAAACTGGAGAGGTGGCGAAGAGTAAAGTAAATTTCAGAGCGGAAAAGCGACTGCAGACTGCCAGTTAAAATGCAATTTAAAATGAAAATGTCAAAAGAATGGCGCCTCTGCGAATGCGAAAGGAAAAACGTTTCGCAACGCCTGCCAAATGAATGCGATCCGGAGTCGCGAACTATTCTAGGGTTTTTGGAGGGGAAAGGGACGGAAATTGCACAAATTAAATGAAAATATTTTAAAACCTCCCACGCTATTCCGCCGTTGTTTCATCTGTCCTAGGGGGAAATTAAAAAGTTCAAAACAAAGCAAACAAAAAAGTTATTTGCAAATAAATTGAGAGATAGCCGGCCAAAAGTGGACAAACTGATACGGCAATATTGTAGTGGCGGAAAAACGTGTATATTGTTATGGCCAAAAGTGAAGCCCTGTGTCCGTGTAGAAAAATATACTTGACATCCATGAAGCCAGATGAATGACACTGCCCGTCTGACATGGCAACGCAATTAAAAAATCCAGAGGGAGCAGGCAAAAATTCAAATTTATCGAAACGATTTTTCAAATGAAAACGATGTTTGCCACACTGCATTGCCCCAATCTACGTCAATCATACGCACTGAGGAGCGAGATAAATAAAAAATAAATGTCTATCAATTTAACTTTTAACTTGTTTCGCATTCCCCTGTCAAATATTAATCAACTGCCAGTTGCAGCAGCTGTAAAGAAATATATTAAAAATAATTACCGCCTAAACCCTGGGCGCATACCATTAAGGTGTGGGGGAGCCGGGTCGTGGCTGCCAATAAAAAGCACACGGGGGCCGACCAATAACAATTGACTTTTGTCTGGCAAACAATTTTTGATTTACATAAATGTGCCATCAGGAGTCGTAAAGCAGCCGCCCACCCGAGAAAAGGGTTCGGCAACCATCATTATTTATTGTGATTTGTGATTTGACGCCGTTTACAGTGCGCTCGCTCGCAACGATTAATCAATTTGACAAAGTATTTTCTCTGGCATCAGTTGTTTAATTTTGCATATCGAGGGGTCGGTTTCGGGTTAGGGCTCGCGTTTAGGATCCGAGTTGGGTCTCTGAAAAATGATGCTCTTCCGGATTCGTAACTGCCGTCGGGGGTGAACTTTGCGCTTGTTCGGATCCCCACACATGTCACTTTTGGGGGCAAAGGCAAATGGAAAGTGAAAAGTGGGGGGAGTCGACATGATTTCCCTTTTTATCGCAGTTGTGCCAAGCCGATGCGATTATACCCAGTACATGGCTTTAAAGTTTCCCCCTTAATCTGCATAAATATCCTGCAGAGTGGGCTCTTAAATTAAAATTGATATCCCTGCTCAGCGTATCCAGGGTACTTGACTAGTATACACAGGCCGACAAAGGAGCCGCTTGAGTGGAAATCTAAGGCAAAGTGAAAATCTAAGGAAAATATCCTTCACTTCAGAAAAGTATCGACAAGTTTTCCCGTTGTTGCCGCCGCTGCCTTTGATTAAGTTTCCTTTTACTTCAAGTAGTCGGAGCAGCAGTGGCAAATCGATACGAGGACATGTTGAAGGGGCAAAAAAATTATTGCCAAGACAAAGAGTCCTCCTGGGCAGGCCGATAAGAAGTGACAGCGGCAGCTCATCGAACAAAAAGCTTTAATTCTGTCAAAACCGAAGCAGGGAATACTAACCAAAACTCCAGGACCCAAGGAATTACAATGACGAATCCGAATTATTTAAGAGTCGGCTTTGGCAAATAGGCACTGGGAATTTTGTTTGCCTTGCTATGCCACCTCGTCATTGATATTTCAATATTTTTTGTGGTCATATTGACTTTTGAATCCAATTAAAACATTGTTTTTCTTGCAAATTGAAGCGAACTGCCTTTTCGCTGGCAATCGGTCGCCAGGGCTTATAAAATATTCAATGAAATGAAGTCAGTTTTCTGGACTGGATATTGTGCTCCTTTACACGTAAATACTCCTGAAAAATATTGAAATAAAAAAGAGAATATCCATATAGAGCAAGATAAATATTCATAATTATTTCGCTCTGTCATTTAATGTTGTAAGAGCACTTAAAGTCCCCATGGAAGGGGGAACCCTCGAAAAGGAAAACACAAGAGCAGTTGGCAGCTGCAGATTGTTTTCTTTTCCGCAATAAAGCCGCTTATTCAGTATTGATTGCAATTAAAATTAATTTCTGCCTTTCCTCCTTTCGCATCCTTTCAATCCGCCGCCACCCAGGGGCCATTATCTTCGGTTCGGATCAGGAGGTGCGGCAAGTGATGCGGGCGGTGCGGCGGGCGAATGCAACTGGCTCCTTCTCCTGGATCGGATCGGATGGCTGGAGTGCCCGGAACTTGGTATCGGACGACTACGAGCCGGAGGTGAGTGAACTATTTCGTCAGTCCGGATGACGGGCCACTTTCTGTCGGCCGGAAATTATGAGTCTAAATGGGCGTAGCAATGAGGTTTGATTAATGATCAAAGGATTTTGGTCACACACACGCATTTACGTGGGCCTAACCCGGTTTTATGAGGATCCGAAAAAAAAGTATAAGTGATGGCGACAGTGAGAATACTTTCGCACGCCTTTTCCTATGATGAATTATGGTTTCATTTAAATTAATCGTGCGTGCGTCTGTGTGGGGCTAATTAATTTGTCAAAACCTTTCAAGCCCAGAGTTGGCCCTCCATTGAGATCAAGCTCATTAAGTATACGCCATGTGCGGCTCGGTGTCATCAACAGGTGGAAGGCACGCTGTCTGTGCAGCCGCAGGCGAATCCAGTGCGCGGTTTCGAGGAGTACTTCCTCGGTCTGACGGTGGAGAACAACCAGCGAAATCCCTGGTTTGTGGGTAAGTGGATTTACCAATACATTTTTTTCAGGCGGAATTTAAGCATTTATTGCAAAGAATGATTTCTGAAAATTATATTTAAATAATATTTGATGATTTGCTCTCAGAATTCTGGGAGGATCATTTCCAGTGTCGTTATCCCGGAAGTACCAGCACTCCGTACAACAACTACACTAAGGAGTGCACCAAAAAGGAGCGACTTTCTAGGCAGAATACCGACTTCGAGGACCAGCTGCAGTTCGTCAGCGATGCGGTCATGGCATTTGCCTATGCCCTAAGGTAAATTTTCAAAAATAAAGATGGAAAATGAATGAAATTCTTTTTAATTATGCTCTGATTAATAAAATAAAAATTATAATATTCAATGTGACAGAAAAAAAAAAATAAATTGAATTATGTTTTATTTATGCCCTGTCAAATGTAAATGGGAAACTAATTAAAATATTAACAGTGTTGAAATATAAGAGATTTTCCAAGCCCCCTTGTTTTTTCTCCGTATACAGTGTGATTTGTTTGAGAAGCTGAAACTTAATGTTGAGAAAAACCTAATGCAATGTCTTTCCCCCAGGGACATGCACCGCGACTTGTGCGGCGGAGGTCCTTCGCTGTGCGAGGCCATGAAGCCGACAAAGGGCGCAGATTTGCTCAAATATTTGCGTAAAGTGGAGTTTGAGGGTGAGTAGGAAATAGAAAGATATTTATTCACTTCGGCGGGATAAAACCAAGGAAAATTAACGGTACAACTATATGCCGTCTGTGCTAGCGTTTCTCGAGGATTACTGAAAACAGGATGGCAGACAAGCTCAAGTTATTTAGCTCCCGCTTACTTCCTTCAGCCGGCAAGTGTTGCGCAAATAGCTTAAGTGGAAATTTCCTGCCAGCCCATCCTTGCAGTTGTGCCAAAAGCCACACACACACACATCTCTGGCTGCGAGTGTCCTACAAGGCGCATTGGCCATGCTTTCGAGTGGAAAATTGACTTGCTTGTCATCGTCATTGAACTCGATTGAAATTCAATAAATTACACAGACGGACGGACGAACAGACGGACGGGCGGCCGGGAGCCAAAGGCTCTGACTGACTGGCGCAGATTGTCAATTTTCTGATATTTCTGATAGGGCGAGCTCGCCAACAGGCCAACGGCTTTGGCAGGCGTGAAACCATAAACCCATTTAACTTATATTCCATCAATTCCATCCGCAGGCCTCAGCGGCGACGAGTTCCGCTTCGACGGGAACGGCGATGGTCCTGCCCGGTACAACATCATCCACTTCAAGCAGTCGCAGGCCGGCCAGTACCACTGGGTCAAGGTGGGCGAGTACACGGAGGGCGAGCTGCGCCTCAATATGTCGGGTAAGGGTTAAGCTAACGCTGCTAATGCTAACCTCCAAATCCAAACAATGTAGGAAATATTTGATCGCGGGAAATGGCTATTAAGACTCGGTGTTAAAACTAAAAATCATTTGAAGCACCTAAGGGGGAAACTCTCAAAAAGTTCTTTAAAGATTAGATAGGAATAATTTTAAATTTTATTCTAAGAAAAACAAGAGAAACTGAATCCTATACCCTTGTAAATCAACCATATTAAATTACAAATTACAAAATGTTAAATATCGAATTATTTTTATTTATTACTCACTTTTCTATCCTTCCTTTTGCGGCTATAAAATAAAGTCGTCCAATTATTGATAAATTTAATTTGAAACTTAAAATTTTAAAGAAAATCTATATCGCAGAGTAGAAGGGAATACTATAAAAACCAACAAAGCTATAATTTGATATTTATTAATTTTCCGAACGTTTTTCGAACGTCAAATTTATTTTATTTTTAAATTTAACCATAAACCATAAGTTTGCCCTAAGAAATACAACTTTTATTTAACACCCGATTTGGTTTTAAGAATAGAGAGCCATTACTTACCATTTGATAGCTTCAGTGCCTCTTGAGCAGCTTTATGTAAATTTATAGAATAACTAGACCCATCTCCTTGACTACATTTGTTTTTTTTATTATTCCCGCCTCCGCAGAGGTGAAGTTCAAGCGCCTGAGTCCCAAGCCGCCCGAGTCCGTCTGCAGCCTGCCCTGTCTGGTGGGCCAGGCCAAGAAGTACGTGGAGGGCGAGAGCTGCTGCTGGCACTGCTTCAACTGCACAACCTATCAAGTAAGTGGGGCCCATCTGCCCATGGACACCGTAATTTATTTGTCGGCCTTTCGACGAGATTGAAATGCGGCGCCGGGCGAATTATTCCGGAACTATTCCGGGCCGACAGGGGAGCGGAAAAAAATGGGGCTTCAGAGGCGAAAAACAATTAAGTCATCAGGCCTGAAAGGGGCTGCAACTGAATGGCAAACACGCCGCCTTTGTGATCGCCCCATCCATTTATCAAGTGCTCCTTTGTGCGTTGCGTCCATTGCAGATCCGCCACCCGGATGACGAGACCCACTGCAAGCTGTGCAAGCTGGGAACGCTGCCCGACGCCCACAAGCAGTACTGCCGCCCCATCCCGGAGATATATCTGCGACCGGAGTCCGCCTGGGCCATTGGGGCGATGGCGTTTAGTGCCACCGGCATCCTGGTAACGCTCTTTGTCATGGGCGTGTTCGTCAGGTGAGCTAAGCATTCATGGAGTGTAAAATCGGAAAGGGGCGTACGTTGTGTTAAAATGGCAATCCTATTAGTTAGCAATATTAGAAAAAAACCTTAAACCATTATGATTCAGTTTTGGAAATAAATTTCATGCTTTTTAAATCTATTTCTAAGCCATAACATTTTATTATGAAAAACAGAGATTTTTATTAAGATCAAATAATAGTAAAACTAAAAGTACCCAATTAATATAATCACAGTTAAATAAAAATACATAACATTATATTAAAGTCAATATAATATCATTTTGCTGAATTTTTTGGCTCGAATTTATTTTCATGGACAAAACGATTGATGTTTTTGCTTCTCCGACTGTAGTTATTGGCACAATATAGTGCGCTTGCATGGATATGGCCAAGCAATTAAAAACTTTTCACCCCTGCCTGGGAAAACTTTGCCACAAAATTTAGCAGCAGAGACATAAAAATGATGCCGTAATTGGCGCAAAGGATTCCCGTCCTGGCTGCATGACCGAAGTTTGTAACTTTAGGTGCACTTTTCCCCTTTCATTCCACCCGCAGGCACAACGACACGCCCATCGTGCGCGCCTCGGGGCGGGAGCTGAGCTACATCCTGCTGGCGGGGATTTTCATGTGCTACGGTGTCACATTCGCCCTGGTCCTGAAGCCCACCAACATCGTGTGTGCCATCCAGCGGTGAGTGTGCAAATTGCCGAGCTGATGCCAGCGGAGTGCGAACTTTCCCCCGATCTGTCGTTTTCCCCAGGTTCGGTGTGGGCTTCTGCTTCACGGTCGTCTATGCTGCACTGTTGACCAAAACGAATCGCATTGCACGGATCTTCAAAGCGGGCAAACAGTCCGCCAAGCGGCCCTCCTTCATTAGTCCCAAGTCCCAGCTGGTAATCTGTGCGTGCCTGGTTAGTGTGCAGGTGAGTGCGGGTGGCTTGTGGGATGTGGGATGCGCGACTCCATCATTCATACCACTCTGCTCCCTCCCATTTGTAGATACTCATCAACGGCGTTTGGATGGTAATTGCGCCATCACATGCCATGCATCATTATCCCACACGCGAGGATAATCTGCTCGTCTGCGACTCGTACATCGACGCCTCCTACATGATTGCGTTCTCCTATCCAATCTTTCTGATTGTAATTTGCACGGTCTACGCGGTGCTCACGCGAAAGATTCCGGAGGCCTTCAACGAGTCGAAGCATATTGGTAAGTAATTGAGCCTTTCGTTTTAAGAAGACCAATAATTCTGAGTAATTGGCATTGTCTGCCGAATATATGTGGAGAATTTAATAACCGGTCACAGACATTCGTTTCGCCAAGTTATTTGATTAAAGTGGCATTAATAACGATTGGCTATTCTTAGAATCTCATCTGTTTCATTTTATGGCCATCAATCTGGTAGTTAAATCGGGCTAGTAGTAAATCAAATTACAAGTCACATAATAAAGACAGCTTTAATTTGTTTGAATAAACATATGTATATATGGAGCGCAAGCGATTGCATTTATGCATTGAATTCATTGCATAATAACTGCATTTCCATGGTTATTAAGTTGTGGAGCACTGCGCATTCTTTTTTACTAGTGGTTCTTCTCTGTAACCTGCCAACGTTTAATTAAATAACACAATATAATAAATAATAATTTTGTATAACAAGAATAGAACTGCTATAATAAGTTACACAAAAAAAATTAGTGGTGGTCAAATTAATATGCGCATGGTAAATTTCTGGTATTGCATCTATCTCGGAGATTCGCTGACTTCGAAAAATACAGGGAGAAGCAATAAAATGACGTGAGAGGGAGAAGTACAAATTCAAAGTCATGTGATACCAAATAACAGCAAATCGATGATCATTTTTTTGAGTGTACTTTACAGATAACATTATTTTAACTTATTTTTTTTACAGGTTTCACCATGTACACGACCTGTGTGATTTGGCTGGCCTTTGTACCGCTCTACTTTGGAACCGCGAACCACGTGCCGCTGCGCATCACCAGCATGTCGGTGACAATCAGCTTGTCCGCCAGCGTGACCATCGCCTGTCTCTTTTCGCCCAAGGTGAGTGCGGATAACTGGGAGTGGGTGGGCTCGGAGGGATGGACGCCCTACGCAAATTGATTGCCAGACGGGCTATTGGTAATTGCGTTATGCATTAATTATTGCGTACTTCTCGTGCCCCCGTTAAATGATTTTGGGTGCAGCACACTGCCAGCGGCGATTTTCATTCCGTTTCATACCGTTTATACCGGACGCAGAGACGAGTGCTTCATTAAAATGCAATAAGACGGACGATGACGGCAGGCGGGGGATCCGAGGGGATTTTAATTCAACAGCCGGATGCATAAATTGAGATGTGTTGCCATCAACCATATTGTGTTTAACGCTCACTCCTCCCTTGGTCCTTGGTTATTTCATTATGTTCGAACGAGAACAAGCTTAAATGTCAACAAGCCAATCCCTCGAACGAAGCTGAACGGGTCATGATCTCCGCCGTTTTTGTATCCCCGGTTCCCATGGCAACATATCTTTTAATACCCTCCGTTATTAGCCATTAAGACGCAAGTAAACTGCAAGACAAGCCAAGTATAGACAGCCATTTAAGTTCATAGACTAGATGATGCAGCGGGGAGAAAAGCGCTCTTTCTGGCAGTTTACTCTGATACGGGACATTACAAAGACAGCATCCTTCCAAGAAACGATGACTTTATTACACGGGAAGACACAAAGAGCTGAATTTACGGAAGATATAATGTTTTAAACTGCATGTAAAATATAATTCGATTTGTAGTTCATAACATAAAATATTGATTTTAATGTTTAGCTTATCGTTCAAATATTGACTTTATATACTGCCTATTTTGTTATAGTGAAGTTTTCAGTTTGTCTTATAATTTATTAAAATTATTCCTTGAAAAGTACATTGTGGAAATGATTAAATCGTTTTACTTAGTGTAGTAAATCTTATACAGGGTTGACTTTTTCCCCACTGTTCCTAGGTGTCGATTACAACTTTTGAGGACCTATTTTTACAGTTTCCCTTTTGATCACTGATTTGTAGAAGTACTTTCCGTCTGTGCCCATTGCATTTAAACGCAATGAACTAGAATTAATAAATCAGGCAGAAACAGGAACACAAACCGAACAGAGCTTGCACAATAGCACATTTCATAGTTATGGGTTCCGAAACGTAACTGGCTTCACTTTGTGGGAGCTATATGCACATTCCGGGTGCAAAGTAGCACAAAGCCCCCGGGAAGCGAGGTTCCATAAACACTCAGCTCAGGGGCTTTTATTAAATGTCGGAGCGTAAAATACTCCTTGGCCCAGTGGCTGCTAACCGGGCTAACTGTCCGCTATCAGCATGTCACCCAATGCACGGTTAGTTGGCGACAGGGAAAACACACTGAACGTACGCTCACCGCAAATACAGACACACGTACTGCGGGCCACCTTGAGCCATAAAAATGCAATTTACAATTGCTTGTGCCTGGGCAGAGGGCAACAATAAAAGGCTGCCGCCATGAATGCGGCATGCCACAAACAGAAGGCGACTGGGGATCACTGGACTAAGCCTGGGCAACAAACTAAAGCCCGGCCGTAAAGGTGCCACCAGCCACGCCTCCTTCCGCAGGACAAAGGCGCACGGAGGTGGCAAGCAATTTCTACTTCCGACGGAACAGCCCTCCGCCGCCTTTCTTCCTCTGGTTTCGACTCGGTTTGGCCTCAGTTTGTTTTCGTACTTTCCGCGTTTGTTTGCTTTTGCGGTGGAAACAATAACAAGCGGCGTCCAAATGGCAGCCAAACAATGTCAAAGCACGGCGGAAATGACCGTAAAGGCCGTACGACTACGTAACACAACGCAGCATAGCCCAAATGGGAACGTAAGGTGCACTGCACACAATTTAAATGGACTTTACTAAGCAATTAACCGATTATTGAGCTGAGTAAATTCCTACCGTTTACCTAAAGTACAAGAAATGTCCAAGAATTTAATTCAAATTAAATTTGTTATTTTCGGAAAATATTAAATTATTAAAAAATATTCTCAATTGTTCATGCGGTTATTCCACTACATTGGTCGGCTCATTCATTAGAACAATTTTTTCTCAGCCTATACGATTTTACGTAGGTGCGAGCAAGACAGATATATGTCAGCTGCAATGAGCAATTAATGAGCAAAATTTTAAAAACCGAAGGCCACCATTTTATTTTTTTTTGTATGAGCAAAATTGAATCTAAAAAGTACAAATTTGCTCATTTATTAGAGCTACTGTAAATCGGATCTTGCTCGCACCTACGTAAAATCGTATGGGCTGAGAAAAAATTGTACTAATGAATGATCCGAACGATGTAGTGGAATAACCGCATCAGCAGAAAATCATGCGCTTCAAATAAATAGTTTCAGATAGTTTAAGAATGCCTAAATTTCATTTAACACAAATCTTTTAATGCAATAGAGTTTTAAATTACAAAAGTATTTGAGGTTTTTCTTCAGGTTTATGCTTATTCAAAGTTAATGGCTTACCATTTCTTCTCGGTGTAAACATCTGACTCGAGTCGTTGGCCCTTGTTTTGTTCCACCATTTCTGCTGGCCATCGAAACGGGAAACGGGCTAATGAGACTAGGACTCGGATTGGAATTGGGAATCGGTAGGGGGCGTGGCAGGTCACGCACTGACTTCTAATGAAAGCCATAAGATAAGCCATCTCGGGGGCAACGGAATTGGAAATCGCTTCCAAGTAGCCATTACATACAATGGGTCGTATGATTAATGCCTGATACGGGAAATTAACCTAATTGGAAGCACACACTGATTTGCTGACGCCAACGAACGCCTGTCTCCTTGCAGCTGTACATAATACTCATACGCCCCGAGCGCAACGTGCGGCAGAGCATGATGCCGCCGCGCTACGGCAACATGCACCGCACCGCCGGAACAGGACCCTCGTCCATGATGGCCGCCGCCGTGGTGACCGCTGCCACCTGCGCCCAGGAGGAGAAGATCCAAAAGCATATCACGCCCACAAACACTGGTGAGTAATTAAGAGGATGCGGGCTGCCCAGGGGCTAGTTGTTATCAGTTGATGGCAGCACAGTTAACATAAAACCAGCAAGTTAATTGATACATATTATATCCTGTTAAAAAGTACAATGCAGGGGAATAATGTTGGTTTTTCTTGCCACAATAAATTAATATATCAATCAATTAAATGTATTATTAAAACTGATCTGTAATTAAATGCTTTTTTGGTTATATTAATCTATTAATTGTATTTTGCCATTTATTAAATCTTTTAAGCACGACCAATACGATTTAAATTAATTTTCCAAATGTTGCAAACAATGTTTATTAGGGCACTTACATATAATGGGTCAGCAATCTTTGGTTTATTTAACTGTTTTAATAATTGTTTTAGATTTAGCAGATATTTTATTTTAGGTTATCAGGTTATTTAAAGGTTATTTTAATCAAAGAATGAAATCGTTTTGCCTTTTTCTGTAATTATCCCCAATAATTTACAGAAAACTCGCTAAAGGCAAAGAAATTGTGCGAGATGGCCACTCAGACGATTTCCAGCATCATCACGTCGCTGGACATCAACGCGTACAATCAGATACCATATGCCGATCAATATGTGCCAAACAATACCACAACGGCCACGACCACGCCCACAGAGAAGGGCAGTGACAACAGCAACGTCAACAGCAACGGCAACAGCAATACCAATGGAAGTAGCAACAGCAATAGCAATGGCGATTGCGATGGCGATGAGGCAACGGAGCAAGTGGTGGCAAACAATAATAAAATCAATCAGAGGCAACATGGCCAGCCGGCCGTGGCATTTGCCATCACAACGGCTAACAATCACATAAGCGGCCCAGCAGCAACCATAACAACAGCGGCTCCAACTGGTGAAACAACAACAGAGGCCCTTGTGGCTACAATAACAACTCCATTGGCGGCGGGGGATGTCACCGAAACCGCATCCGTGGCGGCCAACAATGGCCATGGCAACGGCAGCCAGCGTCCGCCGGTTTTGCAAACAAACTTATAGCTAAACGCACAACAATTGCAGCAGCAGTTGCTGAAGGAGCAGCAGCGACAACAGGCGGAGCTGCAGCAACAGCAACAGCAGCAGCAGCAACCTGCAACACAAAGCTCTTCCAGCGACACCGGCAGCACGGGCAGCGGTAGTGCGGCAAAAAAACGTTCCGCAATTCCCGTTTAAGCTGCCATCAGAGATTAGAGTTCCCCGCCACAATACGTAAGTAGAGAAAAAGTGTCTGTTGACCCAAGTTTTTCCAAGGGTCAGAGGTAGGCAAAAAACAGACGGAGGCCGGCACAGGAAGCTGTGCCACAGAAATATCTTCAAATCGGATAAAAACACATCTGGAAAGGTAATCGCTTTAGTTTCAAAACTCTTTGATTAGGTTGTTGCTTTCTGTAATTAATTTTTCATTAATGATCTTTTGTTACATTGTCCTATATCAGTCATTATTATTGTATCTGATATTGAAGGTATTTCTGTGACATATCTTCTTTTTCAAGGATAACTTCAGATTTTAATTGACACCTAAAGGCCAGATTATAAAGGCCAGAGTGAGTTGAAGCAATGTCCCAAATGAAAGTCAGTCTACTGAAAATCTTTCCCAACTCTTCCCAAACACGAATGCGTTTCTCCATTTTACACTTCAGCACAAGAATTAACGATATAGGTATTTCAAAATAACTTGTCATCCCTTAACTATTTATAAGTGTTTAATTCCTAAGCTTATCTAGTTCTCTAAGCGTTGTTTCAAAGCGTTCCGAAAGAAACAAAAAACGAAAATGTGATATAATTTCAAAAATGTGTTTTCTACAACCGAAGCAACTAGCAAACTATCTGAATAGTACACGTAATTCGTAGGCTAAGGAAGGCAAAAGCTGTACAGTGAGCACTGGGTAAAGGGGCATTTTTTTCGAGGGCGCAATTATGTTCCAAAAGGGCTGGGCTTCAGCCCCTTTGAAATGTAGCAGCTAGGTAGAACAATTACAATTGCATTTATTGTGTTGTTTGAGCCCATCAACATGGTAGATTTAATTGTTGTCCAACTGAGATGTACATATAGGACTTTACGGATTAACTTACGGTCGTAGCAATACCTTGATGTGAATACGGATTAATGTTAATTGTGTGCAGCTTATGTGCTATCTCCAGAAATGCATAGTTAAATATTTGTTATAGAGCGCAAGTAATGCAAATCATGTCTAGCCAAATCATGGGGTACAAAAAATAGCGAAATATATTCGTCTTTCCGTGTCTGTGTGTTCAGTGTAAATAGTCGTTAATGCAAAACCCATGGAACACCCAAGATTTGAATGTCTTTTGAATTAGTTACTTGATGTATAGTTATTAACACTATTGACAACAATACGCTAAATGTTTTTTGGCTGCAAATATATTTACGAATAAAGCAAAAACGAATCAAAAACACTTTCCATTTAAATAAAGACTTTTATTCGGTGGTTAAAACTAGGGCTTCCGCGGGGTCCAGGCTCAAGGTTTTCGGATCGTAACGAGTGCTGTTCGGTAAAAAGGTAAGTAAACATACAATAGTGAAAGTTAATGGATCAACTCTTGTGCACTTACCCTTCTGCTTTTGTGGAGTCAATACTTCTGATGAGAAGCTGCAAGCTTTCGGTGCGATTCTTGTCAAACTGACTCAAGTCAATGGTTTTGGCCACCGACCCAAAGTTGATGACCCCAACAATTGTGGCTGAGTTGGTCAGAGATCTATGAAAAGGGTAAGATTAACATAAGGTAACCAATGGGTTCTAAGCACCACCACTCACCTTTGAACTACAAAGACATCCTCCGATATTGTATCGTACTTCGTGGAGCCATTCTGCAGAGTCTTGGATGATTTGCGTAGGGCCACCAAGGCCTTGTAGATCTTCAAATGAGAACGATCGGCACTCAATTCCGTTTCCACGTTTATGGTCTCGTAGCCTTCGGCCAGTGGCAACCAGGTGGTGGAGCCATTGGTGAACCCGGCATTGGTGCCACCTGTCCACTGGAAGGGGGTCCTCTCGGGATCCCGGGTGTACTGCTCGTAGATGTTGGCATTCGAGTTGCAGGCCCACGGGTCCACGGTGTCCTCCCAGCTGATCTCGCCGTCGGTCATGCCGATCTCCTCGCCCTGGTAGGTGACACTGGCGCCCGGCAGGATCATGACCAGCGTGTTCATGGCATCAATGTGCTCCTTGCCATACCGACTGGCGGCCCTGCGCTTGTCGTGGTTCCCCAACTGCAATGGTAATCTTATTAACCTGAGATTCGAATGAGTAATCACCCCCACTTACCACCCAATTGGCCGTGCGACCTGCTGGCATGTTTTTCAGCCACAAATCAATCGCCTCCTTCACGTTGGTGGCATTCAGACCCTCCTGCTCCATCACCGTGATCAGGTTGAAGTTGAAGGGCAGGTGGGCTCCCTCGGTGGTCCTATTTCCGTAGAACTGCATGCTGAACCAGGCGGGGGAGTAGGTTTCGATGAGCAGAACGCTCGAGTTGCCGCCGTAAATACGCTTGTAATCGTCGAGCACAGTGCGCCACTGGTAAACCATGTCGATGGTCTCCGGCTGATTCTCGATGTACGTGGTGGTCAAATAGTTGCGATCCTCCGAGTCCTCGGTGGCCCCGCTCACAGCTTCGTCGGGAAACTGCCCCTCCGCATTCGGTAAGACCTCAAAGAGCGGAGGCAGAGCATCGCACCGGAAACCGGAAACGCCCTCATTCAGCCAGTAGCGCCGCACTCGCTTCATCTGGTCGACAACCAGGGGATTACGGTAGTTAAGATCGGGCTGCTGTACTGCAAACTGGTGGAGGTAGTACTGCTGACGCACCTCATTCCATTCCCAGGCACTTCCACGGAAGTACTGCAGCCAGTTGGTAGGGGGTTCCCTCTCCCCAGTGGAGGCATTCACCTTTCCGTCATGCCACACGTAGTAGTCCTCGTAGCCCTTCTCCCGGTTCACCGACTTCACAAACCAGGAGTTCTTGTCACTCGAGTGATTGGGAACAAAGTCCAAGATGATCTTCAGGTCTAGCTCTTTGGCTCGCTTGATCAGAGCCCTGAAGTCATCAAGGGTGCCGTACTCCGGCTGAATGTCATAGAAGTCGGAGATATCGTAGCCAAAGTCCACCATGGGCGAGGTGAAAATGGGCGACAGCCAGGCAGCAGTGACCCCTAGGTCTTTCAAGTACTCCAGTTTGCTGGTGATGCCGTTCAAGTCGCCAATGCCATCGCCATCTGAGTCCTTGAAGGAGCGCGGGTAGATCTGATAGAACTGGGCCGTTTGCCACCAGTCCTTGGTCGTTTCGCTGGCGGAGCTCTGAAGCTGACAGCCCTCTCACTGCCAATGGCCAATACCAAAAGTGTTAGAAGCGACAGAAGCTCCATTGCCTCGGTCAAAGTAAAAACCCTTGTGTGCGAGCAGCCGGCAGTCACTCGCTTTTATAGACAGTCCCCTCAATTGGTTAGATAAGCCCTCGTAATGGAAATGTTTTGATTGTGCTAGGTAAGTCCGCCTAATCGAATGTGGAGCATACGCATCGCCTTCTCCGAAACTGTTATTGGAAAATTTCCAGCTGGAGTGGCGTTTCGAGTGTTTTGCCAAATGCAAACACTACTCGATGTGGGCTTATCATTTAAGCCCGACTAATCCGGGTTCTGTTATTGTATAAAAGTCACGGCGACGACTCCTCGCTATCAAGTAACGAGAATGCTGAGAATACGGTTGGATCTTTTGGGCCTACTGGCTTGTGGCCTGGTTATCCTGTCGCCGCCAATCAGGTCCTGTGAAACCACAACCACAACTGCGGCCACAAAGGACTGGTGGCAAAATGCCCAGTTCTATCAGATTTACCCACGCTCCTTCATGGACTCCGATGGCGACGGCATTGGCGATTTGAATGGCATCACCAGCAAACTGGAGTACTTGAAAGACCTAGGGGTAACTGCGGCCTGGCTGTCGCCCATTTTCACCTCGCCCATGGTGGACTTTGGCTACGATATCTCCGACTTCTACGACATTCAACCGGAGTACGGAACCCTTGATGACTTCAGGGCCCTGATCAAGCGAGCGAAGGAACTGGACCTGAAGATCATACTGGACTTCGTGCCCAATCACTCGAGCAACGAGAACGAGTGGTTCCAGAAGTCGGTGAATCGGGAGAAGGGCTACGAGGACTACTACGTGTGGCATGACGGAAAGGTGAATGCCTCCACTGGGGAGAGGGAACCCCCCTCCAACTGGCTACAGGCCTTCCGGGGAAGCGCCTGGCAGTGGAACGAGGTGCGCCAGCAGTACTACCTCCACCAGTTCGCCGTGCAGCAGGCCGACCTGAACTACCGCAACCCGCTGGTCGTGGAGCAGATGAAGCGGGTACTTCGCTACTGGCTGGACCTCGGAGTAGCCGGGTTCCGTTGCGATGCCGTGCCCGTGCTCTTCGAGATCGAACCCGATGCAGATGGTCAGTATGCCGACGAGGAGGTCAGTGGACTGACCGATGACGTCGACGCTCGCAACTACCTGAAGAGCGACCTCATCGAGAACCGGCAGGAGACCATTGACATGGCCTACCAGTGGCGTGTGGTGATGGACGACTACCAGCGCATCCATGGCGGCGACACGAGGGTTCTCCTGATTGAGACCTACGCTCCGCCTGCCTACACAATGCAGTTCTACGGCAATCGCTCGGTGGCCGGTGCCCACCTGCCCTTCAACTTCAACCTGATCACGGTGCTGGCCAGCGAAGGCTTCTCGGCGGGATCCATAAAGACGGCAGTGGACAACTGGCTGGACAACCTGCCCGCCGGACGCACCGCCAACTGGGTGATTGGCAACCACGATCAGCGAAGGGCGGCGAGTCGCTATGGAGCGGCCAATGCGGATGCCATGAACATGCTGGTCATGGTCCTCCCGGGCGCCAGTGTCACCTACCAGGGCGAGGAGCTGGGCATGACCGATGGCGAGATCAGTTGGGAGGACACTCAGGACCCGGCGGCCTGCAACTCGAACTCGGAGACCTACGAGCAGTTCACCCGCGATCCCTCGCGAACTCCCTTCCAGTGGACGAGTGGCACCAATGCCGGGTTCTCAAGTGCATCGAAGACCTGGTTGCCTCTGGCGGCGGACTACCAAACGGTGAATGTGGAAACGGAGCAGGCAGCCCAGCGATCCCATCTGAAAATCTACAAGTCTTTGGTTCATCTGAGGAACTCCTCATCGACGCTGCAAAATGGATCCACCAAATACGGAGTGATTAGTGAAAACGTGTTCGTGGTTAAGCGGTGAGTTAGTTACATTATGTGGTGGTGGTATATTAAAGATGATAACTTATGCAATGTGACCTGGAACCAAGTTCCCCTGAGTCTGTAGAAATTCCTTAAAGGACGTGCCCAACCATTTCCTTTGCAGCTACCTCGCCGGCTCTGCATCCATAATTTATGTGGCCAACTTTGCCAGCAAGGGTGTCACCGTGAATTTATACGACTTCGACAAAACGCTGCCCACCCACTTGACGCTCCTCATCCGCAGCCTGCAGTCCGCCAAGTCGGAGGGGTAAGCGGGAATACAGTTTCAATATTGACCATCCTCTGACTTCTGTGCATTGCATCCTGGGACATCCTCTTTTCAGCTCGCTGTTCGAGGTCACTGGATTGAGTCTGGCGGCCGGCGAGGCCTTGCTATTGACTACCAGCAGTTCTTCCCGACTCGATTTCCTATGAGGCGCACTTGAAACATACTGACTCAGGCCACTCAATCGGTATTTATCTTCGGCTCAAAGCAAATATGCCGTGGCTTGCATAAATAAATATATAAGTGAAAAACCAGACAAACAAACCACTTCACCCCAGATACACCGCACATATCCTGAAACCGCCCCCTGCCCCCACCAGGGAGATAAGCTCAAGTGCCCGGCATACTCTTTTTAATTCCCGTTCGGCATTTAAAGTGTTTACACACAAATTAAAGTCAAGCAAAAGTTCCCGGCCCCCTTGGTAAGTAGGTAAGTATTTGGTGTTTTACACTGTGTGAGTGCCGGGGAGCCGAGGAATGTGTGCTACACAATGTAAATACAGACGACGACCGGGGACTAGGCCTATAAAACAGAAATGGAGAAGCTCGGCCTGGGACTGGGCCCCCAGCATCGCAGGACCCTTTGAAGTCGAAACCGTCGAGGGGGGCTCGATGAGTTCGCCCCAGATAGCCGGGGCAATTTTCATAGCGAGATTTATTAGCAATCTCGGAAATTCGTAAAACAACCCCGCAGTATTTACTCTTGCCTTCGCCCCCCAAAAAAGAGGGCAGCTGAAGGGAGAACTTCAATTGCGTTATAAATAATTAAATTGCGTTTACACATGGTAATTGGCAGACGCGTTGCGATACCCGGGCATCAAGTATACGCCCCCCCAATTTTCAAAGATTTCAGGCTTATGGCAGCACACACATCTTAGAAAGGGTTAGAAAAGGAAGGTAGGGACGAGTCGCTCTGATTTGTCCGTCTAAAATAACAAATCCATTAGTGCTCAGTGAAGTCGGGTAATTACCTGAGTATTTTACTTTCAATTTGTTTGGGAACAACAATGAGATTGAATTTCGCATTAAAGGCATAAAGCACAAAGCGGTTCCTCCGAAATCTTTACAAATTATTTCCCCCCTTTAAATAAGCCGATTTCGATTTGTTCGATTTCACTGTGACGACGAGAAATTAGCCGTCTCTGCCGGCAGGACCACAAAAATGAATAAAATGGAATCGTGTAAATGGCTGCGTGACCCGCCGGCCCATTAAAAAGGTCACAGACTGGGGCCACTTCACCCTTACGCACGTGACCAGAAACGTTAAAGAAAAATCTGTATGAAATTGTGTGTTTGAAAATGAAAACCGCAGACGGAGCTGCCAGGTGGCCGTTCAGCCGTTCAGCATTCTGCCTTTTGTGCATTTCATTTTCGGGCGGATAATGAAGTTAATTTCCCAAAGAGACTGAGCCACAATGTTTGACGAGGGCAACGAAATGATTACATTTAAGATGATTTTCATGATTTTCATGATTCTCGCAGATTTACGCAGGTCGGACAAAAGTTTGCTCCCCTTCCGATTGGAAAACTTTTAAAACGCATTAAGCTCGCTGTAATCTGCAAGGACTCGTGGCCCAAAAAGCCGGAAGCGAGCTCAGCATCCTTGCACATTTTGTTAACGTATCCGAGGCTCCGACGGCGTTTGCATATTAATAATGCGAGGGTAATATTTGAGTTTGATTCCGAGTTCGTAACGAGCTGCGTTCCCGTGGCTTCTGATTTGGCACGTGCCAACTGGCCAACTAGCCAGGTGAGGCCTGAAAGTTCATTTAATCACTGGCCGCTCATTAATTGCACCGCAAACACGGCTCATAACGGGTTGGAGGTCCCTGGCCATTTGCATGGGGCTCACGTAGCTGATGTTTCGGGGGTCTGTTGACGTTTTTGGGGCCACAGGTTGGCAGCTAATGCCGCAAAGAGCCCGCCGATGACAGAACAATTGTCGCTGATGAACTGTGGTCCTTGCCGCTGAGGATGATGATGGTGCACTTCTGTTTAAGGTGATTTAAAGCTATCCTTGTGCCTGCTAAAAATAGCAGTTATGTCGTTTTCGCCATAATTTCACTTTTACTTTTTCCGAGTAAATTAAAAAGCTAACCAGGGTCCTTTTCTCTAGGGCTCTTAAGTACGCCCACTACACCCACTAGCACTCCCACACGCAAACGAAAAACGCCCACGCACACTCATTTCCGAGACACCTTCTGTGGTCCTCTGGTTTTTGCGCGGCAGCAACATTGCGTATGCGTGATTTGTGTGTCTTATCAATCACGTCTAATGGAATTTCCCCCGCCCACGCTGACTCTCGAGCCAGGACAAAGTTCCTTAATAATTTATAATCAGTTGGCCCAGCACGCGACCTTAAAATTGAAAAGTTTTCCAATGTCGTTCGCCCCCGTGACTTTTACGCCCATCCAACAAGACACATTATCGATGTACTTTATGTATTGTTCTTCAGAAACTTATGATTATGTAAACTCTAGACAGACTCCAAAATCAGGGCTGCGTATGGCTCCAACGACAAGTTGCTGAGTGTGACGCTGTCGCTGTGAAGGGTAAGAGGTTAAAGGTAAAGGTAAAGTTACTTGGGTACTCGATTCAAGAATCCCCGTGACAACTTACCCAACTGTGGCCTTGGCCTGCGGATTGAGCAGCTTGATCTTGTAGCTGCCAGTGGCATAGACGGCACTGGCCACATCCACAGCGGAGACACTGGTGTCCAGGACATTGGCCACCAGCACATAGGTGGCTTCCCCACTCAGATGCCTCCTGATGGCCACCACATTGTCGCCCACACTCGCGTACCGAGTGGCGCCCAACTGCAGGGTCTTCAGCTTGCGCAGCTCCACCAGCTGTTTGTACAGGCTCAGATGACTGGGACTCGTGGCATTCTCGGTCTTGGCATTCACGGTCACGTAGTTCGGGTTGATGGGCAGCCAGGTGGTGGCGTTGGTCGAGAACCCAGCGTTGGCCTCATCGCTCCACTGGAAGGGAGTCCTAGCTGGATCACGGGTAAACTGCTCGTATATATTCGCGTTGGAGTTGCAGGCCGCCGGATCGCGACTGTCCTCCCAGCTGATGTCCAGATCCGTCATGCCCAGCTCCTCGCCCTGGTAGGTGATGCTCACGCCGGGCAGGAACATCTGCAGCATGTTCATCAAGTCGATGCGGTTCTCCCCATACCGACTGCCCACCCGCCGCTGGTCATGATTGCCCATCTGCAGAGATTGTGATTAAGGTAAGGTAACTGCCTCATAAGCACTCCATTAAGCCAAGTACTCACCACCCAGTTGGCTGTCTGACCGGCGGGCATCTGGGTCAACCAGCTGTTGATGATCTTCACGAATCCCGCCGCCTTGAGCTGCGTGTTGTTCTTGTCCCCGTTGCCGCCGATGATGAACTGGAAGTTGAAGGGCATCTGAGCGCCCTTGGTGGTGCGATTGCCGTAGAACTGCATTACGTAGTCCAGGCCCGAATAGGTCTCCACCATGATGACTCGCGTGTCGCCGCCGTGGATCCGCTGGTAATCATCGAGCAGGGTGCGCCACTGGAACACCATCTCCACGGTTTCCCGCAGATCCTGGGTGTAGATGTGTTTCAGGTAAGAGGAATCATCCGGGTCGTCCGTGTAGCCACTGAGAGGCTCGTCGGGATAGCGACCTTCGGCGTCCGGGAGAACCTCGAAGCACCAGGGCACCGCGTCCATGCGGAAGCCAGCCACTCCGCGGTCCAACCAATAGGTGAGCACCCGCTTCATTTGGGCCACCACCGCGGGATTGCGGTAGTTCAGATCCGGCTGCTTGACGGCGAACTGGTGGAGGTAGTACTGCTGGCGCTCCGCGTTCCACTCCCAGGCGCTTCCGCGGAAGGCCTGCAGCCAGTTGGAGGGCGGCTCCCTCTCCCCAGTGGTGGCATTCACATAGCCATCGTGCCACATGTAGTAGTCCTCGTAGCCCTTCTCCCGCTTCACCGACTTCTGGAACCAAACGTTCTCGTCGCTCGAGTGATTGGGCACAAAGTCGAGGATGATCTTGATGTTCCGCTTGTTGGCCTCCACAATCAGCTCATCGAAGTCCGCGAGGGTTCCGTACTCAGGCTGAATGTCGTAGAAGTCGGAGATGTCGTAGCCAAAGTCCGCCATGGGCGAGCTGTAAATGGGCGACAGCCAGGTGGCCGTCACCCCGATCTCCTTCAGGTAGTCCAGCTTGGAGATGATGCCCTGCAGGTCGCCGATGCCATCGCCATTCGAGTCCTTGTAGGATCTCGGATAGATCTGATAGAACTGGGCGACTTGCCACCAATCCCTAGTGGTGTCCGTGGTGGTGGTGGCCCTCTCAAGATCCAGATCCAGATCCACTGCTGCCGCTCTCCCAAGGGCGCATTGTACCCCCAGGAGGAGTATCGCTATGATTAACTGATTCAAACACGCCATGACTGACTGACTGAACGGCCTTCTGGGAGCCCGCTTTTATAGACCGCCTCCCCCAGAGATTTTTCCACCGATAAGTGCTCAAGTGCTTTGACTGCGTTTATTGTGAGTATTGGTTATTAAATAGCTGCTGGAAACCAGGGGGTGGGAACTCATCGATTGCTCAGATAGAGCGCCACTTGAGCCAGCCAGAGATAAAAGCCCAGAATGGGCAGAAAACGAGTCTCGCCATTGGTGGCATAGCTGTAATAGGAGGAGCTGGACTGCAGGATCAGCGAGTCCTTGGGCTGCAGTTGTACCCATGAGGAGTTGACGAGATCACTAGGAGAAGATAAATATATTAAAAAAAATGGCTTATATTTAAACTAGACTTCATGACCTACCCCACTTTGACTTGAGATCGCTCTGTGACCAGCACAACTGTGAGCTGAGGAGGCAAGCCGGGGAAGCTCTGCTGCAGATTGATGGTCTCCACGCCGTCGTAAATGTTCAGCAGGGTCAAATAGGTCGAGTCACGTTCGAGATAGCTGCGGAAATATATTGTTATTATCGAGGCATTTTGAAATCGCTCTATTTGTCACCGTTTGACGGCCAGCACTGCGTCGCTGAGGGCCTTTACTTCGGTCTGACCGCGCTGGAGGGTCTGCGATTGCCTCCTCAACTGCCAGAGCTGCTTGAAGACGTTCAGGTGACTCAGCGGCCTCTGCCGCTCCAGCTCCACGTTGACCTGCTTGTAGTCCAGGGCGATGGGCAGCCAGGTCTTGCTGGCATTGCTGAAGCCCGCATCCTGGGCGTCGGTCCACTGGAAGGGCGTGCGCTCAGGATCGCGGGAGTACCGCTCGTAGATGCTCGGATTGGTGTTGCAGGCCGAGGGATCCACGGTGTCCTTCCACGAGATCCACACATTGGTCATGCCCAGCTCCTCTCCCTGGTAGGTGACACTGGCGCCGGGCAGCGTGCCAGTGAGCATGTTCAGCATGTCCACCCGATCCCGACCCAAACGAGAGCCCACTCGGGGTTGGTCGTGGTTGCCCAGCTAGTAAAGAAATCTTATTAGTTTTGGTAGGGATTGTAAACTAGAGTCCTGCGTGAATTATTCAATGTTTGTTTTATCGTAGTATGCATTAAATTTCTGATTTTTTAATTCGATTTTATGTGAAATAAATTGAATGTTTTTCTAATTCATTTCAAAATTTTTATAAATTTGTTGAGTTTGCCAGAATTTTTGGTGCTTTCTTCTGAGAACAAAACAGGGAACATTTTAAAAAAATCAATGTTAACTGCATAGTAAATAAAAATCAGGCAGATTTAGCCACAAAATTATGGCCCTTTCTTCTTGAAAAGAAATTGTCGAATTGTCAAATTCATTCAATTAATTCAACTATTAAACTCAAAAATCTAATTAATTCATTGAATGAATTCATTCAATGCTCTAATATAAACTAGATAAACCTACCACCCAGTTGGCTGTGCGACCCTGGGGCATGTGCTGCAGCCACTTGAGACCCGTTTGCTCATAGTCATGGGCATTCGACGAGTTGGACAGGTCGCTTATCAGCAGAAAGTTGAACGGCAGCTGAGCGCCCTCCGCCGTCGCATTGCCGTAGTACTGCATCACGATCTCGATGGGTGAATAGGTCTCGGCCATTAAGATGCGATCCTCGCCGCCGTGCTCCCGCTGGAAAGAGTCGAGCACCGCGCGCCACGAGTAGACCAGGTCAATGGTCTCCGGCTGGTCCTTGGTGTAGATGTGCTGCAGATAGCCGTAGTCCTCGGGGTCGTTGTCCCAATCGTTTCGCGGCTCGTCGCGGTACTGATTCTGAGCATCCGGCGCTATCTCAAAGACATGGGGAACCGCATCAATACGAAAGCCAGCGACGCCCTTTTCAAGCCAAAATCTCAGAACGTTCTGGGGAAAAGAAAGAAGGTTTTACACTGCTGAAAGTTCTGTTAGGATTAACTCACATTCATGGTCTCTCGAACTTTTGGATTGCGATAGTTCAAGTCTGGCTGCTTCTTCACGAACTGGTGCAGATAGTACTCCTGACGACCTTCGTGCCATTCCCAAGCACTTCCGCGGAAGACGCTGATCCAATTGGAGGGCGGTCGACGGGTGCCGTTCTCCACTCTACCAGGATGCCAAACGTAGAAGTCTGCGAAGTCCGGATGACGCTCCGCCGACTGACGGAACCACTCGCACTCGTCACTCGAGTGGTTGGGCACAAAGTCCAGGATGATCTTGATGTCCAGTCTCTTGGCCTCCGCCAGCAGGTGTTCAAAGTCCGCCATGGTTCCGAAAATAGGCGCTATCTCAGTGAAGTTGGCTATGTCGTAGCCGAAATCTGCCATCGGTGAGGTGAAGATTGGCGACAGCCAAGTGGCCGTGATGCCCAGCTCCTTGAGGTAGGGCAGTTGCTCCGCGATGCCTGATACGTAGATTCGAAATAAGTAAATATCTACACCCACATATATATCAAATCTGTTTACCATTTAGATCACCTACGCCATCGCCGTCGCTGTCTTTAAATGACCTTGGATATATCTGGTAGAAGGCGCCCGTCTGCCACCACTTGAGATCTGCGGGCTGATCTTCGATGTCCACGAAATCCGCATGGTAGTGCGGTAAAGGTTGGCCCCGTGTTAAGCAGAGAACTTGGAGCAGTACCACGAGCAATGCCCCCAGGCGGTGTTTAATCATTTCGACTGCCTATTTTGCAGTTTACCGGTCTGAGCAACACAGCTCTGCTTTCAGCAAGCAAACAAATGCGACTGGCGACCGAATGCAAAAATGGATTATGTGAGGCCCTTCCTTATATAAATTTCACTGAGTGGGGGAGAAAAAAGCAGGGGCTTAGTGATAAATATTTTTGAAAGGATCTTGTTTATTGTATTTATTGGGTTTAAGTTTAAATATTTACATATTGTTGGTAACTATGATGGCTTATCGCAGTTTACACTAATAACATAGTTATAACAAATTTTCTTTAGAACCACTTTTGAAATTCAAACAACACTTTGGTGCATTTTTAATCGATATATTATATTATAATATTATTATATACTATTCTCTACACCCATGTACAATACGCATAGATTTTATTTATAAACTGCGCAGAGAATCGGGAGAAAAATGAGAACGAAAAAAGATCTTGGGAGAATATGGAATAAGCGCATCGCTCAGAGTTGACAGTTATTTGCGGTGGGCGATTTCAGGGGAAGGGGTACTGACTACGAGCAGAGAGAAACATTAACGCACGGGATTAATGACTGCATTTAGCATACACAGAATCAATAAACAATTGCGCTGCTAAAATGTTTTCCAATATATAAAAGAGCTCTAAAACCTGAAGAGCAAATTAGAGAAAAGGTGCACACGTGAATTATTTATATTTAGGAGATCTAAAACTTTTATTTAATTTTTTGTTGTACCTATTATAAGGAATATTGATAAACACCTAGAAAAATTAACGCATTTTGCGGTTATTCCAAGAAATGGGTTTTGCCGTCTTTTTTTTTTAGTAAACAGGGCCCCGAAATATATTCTTTTCTTAGAGGTCTATCTGGAATTTTAATCTCCTTTATAATGCGATTCAATATTAAAACTTTGAATATTTTGTCGCTTCGTGGCTTGGTTATTCACCAGGGAATTAAAATATATTGCCCACAAGAGCTCGAAGGTTTCCAAATGGACATTCCTGTACAGTTGTACTGATAAGCCGAGCTAATGGCATATTTGACAGTGCTGACGAAAATCAGTTCAAAGTTATAAAAAGTGAGTAATAATGCTTTTCAATTGTTTAATTCGCCATGAGGGTAATAAACTAAACGGTTGTGGTGGAGCGAAGCACAATGGCCTCGTGGGGCATGAGGGTGACACTGCTGGCGGCCACCTGATCCCCGACCTTCTTGATGGACTTTTCGGTGACCAGGGCGTACTGGAAGTTGGCGGGCAGGCTGCCAAAGACAGTAGATAGATTGACGTTCTCGATGGAGTCGAAAATGTTGAACAGCGAGATGTAGACGTAGTCGCCGCTCAAATGGCTGCAGAGAAAGATAGATAAATAAAATGTAAAGCCTCATATAAATATAATAAACTCACCGCTTAACAGCCAGAACGTAGTTGCTAACGGCCTTGACCTCGGCGGATCCCTCCTCGATGGTGGGCTCCTGGCGCAGCTGTTGCAGGCGCTTGAACACGTTCAGGTGGCTCAGGGACACTCCGCGCTCGGTCTTCACGTTCCTTTGGCGATAGTCCAGGGAAACCGGCAGCCAGGTGCTCTTGCCGCTCGTGAATCCGGCCATCGTTTCATCCGACCAGTGCATCGGAGTGCGAGCCGGATCCCGAGAGTTGTCCATGTAGTTGGACTCGTAGCCATTGCAGGCCTGCGGGTCCACGGTGTCCTCCCAGGAGACGTAGCCGTCGAGCATGCCCAGTTCCTCGCCCTGGTAGGTGATGCTGCAGCCGGGCAGGGTCAGCAGCAGGATGTTGAAGAGGTCAACCCGATCGGCTCCGAAGCGGGAGCCCACACGGTTCTTGTCGTGGTTGCCAATCTGTGAAAAAATAGGTATACGTTACTTTGTTGCTCTTGTAAAACATTATAATCCATTTTCTGCCCATTACCAACGATTAACTTACCACCCAGTTGGCGCTCTTGCCCTCTGGCATCAGATTAAGCCAGTTGTTAATCAAGTACTCGTAGTGATAGGCATCGGAATCGTAGTGCAGATTGCTTATCAGCTGGAAGTTGAACGGTATCTGGGCTCCGTCGGCGGTCGCATTGCCGTAATAATCCATTACGATCTCGATGGGCGACCAGGTCTCCACCATTAAAATGCTGAATAATTCACAATTATGATTTTAATGATTTTTTCGCCAATAAACTAACTTACCGCTCATCGCCGCCGTTGTCGGACTGGAACTGCTCGAGGATCTGACGCCATTCGTAGCTGTTAAATAAGAATATTTAATAGGCATTTATGGAATTATCCCTGGCCTGTTAAACTTACACCAAGTGCGGGGTCTCCGGCTGGTCCACGGTGTAGATCTTGTGGGTGTAGCCGTACTCATCTGGGTCGTCGGTCCAGTCGTTGCGGGGCTCATCGGGATAGTTGCCATTCTCGTCGGCCTCGATCTCGAAGGCGTGGTAAATGGCATCCACTCGGAACCCATCGACACCTTTCTCCAGCCAGAAACGCAGCACGTTGTTCATCTCCTCGCGCACCACGGGATTGCGGAAGTTGAAGTCCGGCTGCTTCTTGTGGAACTGGTGGAGGTAGTACTCCTGGCGACCCTCGTGCCACTCCCAGGCGCTGCCACGGAACACGCTCACCCAGTTGGTGGGCGGCCGACGGGTGCCGTCCTCGTTGAGGAATCCCGGGTGCCAGATGTAGTAGTCCTTGTACTCCGCCTCACCGGCGGCCGATCGCACAAACCAGTCGCACTCATCGCTCGAGTGATTGGGCACAAAATCGAGGATGATCTTCACGCCCAGCTCCTTGGATCGCCTGACCATCTCCTCGAAGTCCTCCATCGTTCCGAAGAGGGGATCGACCGCCTTGAAGTCGGAAATATCGTAGCCAAAGTCGGCCATCGGCGACTTGAGGAAGGGCGACAGCCAGGTGGCGGTCACGCCGATCTCCTTCAGGTACTCCAGCTTCTCGGTCACTCCGTTCAAGTCTCCGATTCCATCGCCGTCGGTGTCTTTGAAGGATCTGGGGTAGATCTGATAGAAGGAACCCGTTTTCCACCAGGGTCCCGTCGCCGCATCGACGGCCAGAAGGCCAAGGCCCAACAGCAAGAACAGGCTAGTCCAAGTGGCCATTGCTAACTGTAAGCGGTACGATTGCAATCGGTTTCTTATATACGGCGATAATCTACGGGTCTTATCGTATCTGACTCGGTGGCGCGAAAAGCCGTACGACCACCCGGGGAAAATATATGATGAGACCTTTGGCTCCAAAATACAAATCGGAGATATTGATGTTGTTCAAGTTCGAAGACGTGATTTGGTTCTTGATAGGGAGAGATGATCGAAGTGATTAAATCTTAATTAGAGCATAATGAGGAATGAATTTATGACGTATAATGTTTACGATCTGATAAATAAAATGTTCATGCCTATGATATCTTTAAATTTCGAGTCTGACTTCGAACATGTTCCCTAAACAAAGATTATGGGAGGATATTTTTGTGTTTTTGCTTAAAAAGTTGTTCAAAAATATGGCCAAGCTTAACTATTGATCTTTTATGTACTTCTATCGAAATTGTTTCAGGACATTCAAATGCAATTTTTAATAATTAATATGTTTTAAACCCAGAAGTACGATGGATTCGATTACTGTATACTTTCAGATTCCACATTTTGGCTCTTATGTTTAAATTTTAATTTGTACCTCAAATTTCAGCACAGTGTTATGTACACACAAAAAAAAAAACATGTTACCATAAAATCGATATGACATGCAAAACCTATATCGTTTAACATGAAATACCCTTTTCGACCAGTTCAAAATTACCTGGCCGCATATCAAATTAAAATTGATCTTAAATAATTATAATTTAAAATGGATATCCGTTTCATATCATAAAAGTTCATGTCTGTCATAACATTTTAAAATGAGTGGAATGTTTTTGTATCTAGCGAACTAAGCCAAAACAACTCCAATTTAATTTACGAAACCCGCAAAGAATAGAAATCAGCTGTTGTCCACTGATGACCTACACTCATACAGTTTCAGTTATTGAATCATATCAATACGTTATCACAGCCTTGAACCCCCGAATCTCCCACTTTTATTGGCCCAAAAGCCCCATAGAAGTGAGCTAATAAATTACTCCCCCCCTGCGAAATACAAGAACCCAATTGGGCGATAAGATACGACCGTATGCAGTTGGTATTCATTTGCCTGCTAATCTGTCTCATGATCTTCAGGCGTAAGCCAGGCCGAAACAACAGCAAAGTGGACTCCAATAAATTCCACAACCCCCTATCATGAGAACCCATTTGGATTGTAAATCTGCCAGCCCCACGAAGCTAATCACAAATAGTTATGTGCTATATGGCTTTTGGGTTTATCGATCGGTCTTATCAACCGGAGCGGTGGGCATAAATAGAGGCACCAACTAATCCCCCTGGTCATTGGCAATCGATCGATTTAGTGGGAGCCATGTTCAAGTTGCTGGTGCTCTCCTGCCTTTTGGCTTTGGTGCTGCCCTCGCTGGCGGAAGTTGGCTGGTGGAAGACGGGCCAGTTCTACCAGATCTACCCCAGATCTTTCAAGGATAGCGATGGCGATGGTGTGGGCGATCTCGTTGGTGAGTTTTTATTGAGCAATCAGTTTAAAAAAGGTTTTAATATGACATGATTACCAGGTATTACGCAACAGCTGCCTTACCTGAAAGAAATCGGCATCACTGCCACCTGGCTGTCCCCCATTTTCACCTCGCCCATGGCTGACTTTGGCTACGATGTGGCCGATCTCAAGAACATCGATCCCCTTTTTGGAACCATGGAAGATTTCGAGGCGCTGTTGGCACGCGCCAAGGAGCTGGACATCAAGATAATCCTGGACTTTGTGCCCAATCACACGAGCGACGAGTGCGACTGGTTCATCCGATCGGCCGCCGGCGAGGAGGAGTACAAGGACTTCTACGTGTGGCACACCGGCAAGGTGGTCAACGGCATTCGCCAGGCGCCCAACAACTGGCTCTCCGTCTTCCGCGGCTCCATGTGGACGTGGAACGAGCAGCGACAG